TTTTGAAGCCCAAAAAGCCGGACATGTCCGGGAAAATCCGGACGTATGGTAACCCTAATTATGATACATTTTATACAAAGTATACCGTGTGAAGCATCATTTAAAAAGTCTTGATCTGTTGAACCTCAATATCCTGTTGGATTGTATGTACTATCTTGTATGTGAAGTTATGAGGTTACTGAAATACATTGTGAGGTTGGGAACACCAAGACCTGCCTTTCAGTTACAACAAAGGAGTAGCCATCAATAGCCAGATAGCGTTAATGGCTCATCAACACCCATCAAGAAAAGAATCCACTGTCCTAGAGACTTCTCGGAGGAGGCACATATGCCATGGGGGCCGACTAACCCATGTCAAAGCAAAGATCTTTCCAGCAAGCTGAAAGAAAATACAAAAGAGAGACAGTAACTTCATCACTTGGCCTCACTCTTCTTCCCCCTTCCCCCCCCCCGGCTCACATCTCAACACCAGAAAGCACATCTGGAAGAAAAAGACTTTGAACTGTGGAAGTGTGGTCCCAGGCTGGAAAAGAGTCCTACTCTGTATATTGAGGAACTGTGACCTGCTTGTACCATCTGTCAGGGTGAAAAAAGCTCTTGCTAAAAGTTTAAGATTTAGAATGCGTGTTTACTTTCTTAAGGTAACTATCTCTGACCTGTATGCCTACCACTTACAATCACTTAAAATCTATCTTTCTGTAATTAATAAACTAGGGCGGTTGATTAATTGCAGTTAACTCACGCAATTAACTCAAAAAAATTAATCGCGATTAATTGCAGTTTTAATTGCACTGTTAAATAATAGAACACCCAATTGAAATTTATTAAATATTTTGGATGTTTTTCTACATTTTCATGTATATTGTATTCTGTGTTGTAATTGAAATCAAAGTGCATATTATTTTTGCTTACAAATATTTGCACTGGAAAAATGATAAACAAAAGAAATAGTATTTTTCAGTTCACCTCATACAAGTACTGTAGTGCAATCTCTTTGTTGTGAAAATGAAACTTACAAATTTAGATTTTTTTTTGTTACATGACTGCACTCAAAAACAAAACAATGTAAAACTTCAGAGCCTACAAATCCAATCAGTCCTACATCTTGTTCAGCCAATCGTTAAGACAAACAAGTTCATTTACATTTAAGGGAGATAATGCTGCCCTCTTCTTATTTACAATGTCACCAGAAAGTGAGAACAAGCATTTGCATGGCACTTTTGTAGCCGGCATTGCAGGGTATTTACGTGCCAGATATGCTAAACATTCATATGCCCCTTCTTGCTTCGGCTACCATTCCAAAATCTGAAAGGGACAAGGTGTGGAGCATGCTTTCAGAAATCTTAGAAGAGCAACATTCCGATGTGGAAACTACAGAACCCAAACCACCAAAAAAGAAAATCAACCTTCTTTTGGTTACATCTGACTCAGATAATGAAAATGAACATGCGTCGGTCCGCACTGCTTTGGATTGTAGTCGAACAGAACCCGTCATCAGCATGGACGCATGTCCCCTGGAATGGTGGTTGAAGCATGAAGGGACATGTGAATCTTTAGCGCATCTGGCATGTAAATATCTTGCGATGCCGGCTACAACAGTGACACGAGAACACCTGTTCTCACTTTCAGGTGACATTGTGAACAAGAAGCAGGCAGCATTATCGCCGCAAATGTAAACAAACTTGTTTGTCTGAGCGATTTGCTGAACAAGAAGTAGGACTGAGTGGACTTGCAGGCTCTAAAATTTTACGTTGTTTTATTTTTGAATGCAGGTTTTGTTGTACATAATTCTACATTTATAAGTTCAACTTTCATGATAAATAGATTGAACTACAGTACTTGTATTAGGTGAATTGAAAAATACTATTTCTTTTGTTTTTTTACAGTGCAAATACTTGTAATCAAAAATAAATATAAAGTGAGGACTTTACACTTTGTATTCTGTGTTGTACTTGAAATCAATATATTTGAAAATGTAGAAAACATCCAAAAATATTTAAATAAGTGGTATTCTATTATTGTTTAACAATGCGATTAATCGTGATTAACTTTTTAAATTGCAAGATTAATCGCGATTAATTTTTTTAATCGCTTGACAGCCCTATAATAAACTTGTTTCATATTTTACCAAAAACAGTGTGTTTTGGTTGAAGTGCTTGGGAAATCTCAGCTTAGTTTACAAAGTCTAGTGTGTGTCCATTCCACATTGAGGGAGTGGCAAACTACTTAATGAATTTACACTGGCCAGGCTTCTGACCAATGCAAGACGGTACAGTTCCGGGATGCAAGGCTGGAGCCTTCCCCGAACTGGCCCTAGACTAAATGGCGCCCCAGGTGAGGAACGTCTTTGGTGCCCCCTTTCCCCCCCACCATTTGTTTAACTTTTGAATACCTTGTAGCAGGGGTTCTCAACCTTTTTCTTTCTGAGCCCCCCCGCCCCCAAATATGCTACAAAAACTCCACAGGCCACCTGTGCCACAACTATTTTTCTGCATATAAAAGCCAGGGCCAGCATTAAGGGGTAGCAATCAAGGTAATTGTCCAGGGTGCCCCACACCCTGCTCCGCCACAGGGGGCCCTGCAAAGCTTAGTTGCTCAGGCTTCAGTGTTAGCCTCGGGTGGTGGGGCCCTGGGCTTCAGTCTCATACGATGGGTCTTCGTCTTTCTGCCCTGGGCCCCAGCAAGTCTAATGCCGGCCCTGCTTGGTGGCCCCCTGAAACCTGCTCATGCTCCCCCCTCCCCAATGGGCCCATGACCCCTGGTTGAGAACCACTGCCTTACAGCACCCCGAGCCCAGTGGTCACCTGGGTTATCTGCCCCTAAATTCAGCCCTGAGCCTCCCTATTTATGGTTCAGAAGTGGCTGAGAGATCATTCATGTAACACAGTTGATTATGTCCCTGCCTGGGGATGTCTGTGTAAGTGCAGTGACTATAAGAGGTTTGTAGCTTGACATCAGCATCACAGTTTGAGAGGCAGCCCAGATTGGTGGATTGAAGGGCTCAGCAGTCCCACAGTCCAGGGTGCACCACGGGGACCCCGTCACAACCATAAAGACAAAAAGGAGATTTATTACCTTCAAGGCAACAAGGCAAGTGCCACATTCTTCACATGCCAAAATAGACATTGCTTTCAATAACATCTGAACTTCTATGAAGAGATAGGCTTAAACTGGAACATGATACCTGAACCTCCTCATGCTTTGAGGAATTTCATGTCCAGATGTGAAAACTTCATAGCTTAGTAGTTCTTTATAAATGGCCAGCCTGGAACACCGAGGGCCAAATTCTGCTCTTATTTACATTGGTGTATATCTGGAGTGACTCAACTGAAGTTAGTGCAGTTAATACAGATTTTCCAGCTACAGAAATCTGCCCCAAAATATTGGAACGACTGATTTGCTGTCGTTTCACTCTGCAGAAAGATCTCAGAACAAAATGTGACAATTGCTGATTGTAGCAAGGTTGCGTGCCCTGTGGGCTGGAGAGCCTGGGGTTAACCTGGATTGCGGAATGAGCCCCATTCCTCCCCCCCCCCCCCCGCCTCCCACGCGAGGGGAATCAGGCAATTTACTTTTAAGGAGCAGGGTGGCTGCAGTAAAAGGGGATGTTTAGGGAACTGTGTCACCATGACACCAGGGAGTTTGGAGAGTAAATCCCAGTGAGTAGGAGGCTCCTGGGGGGTGATGGGGGACACCCCGATTGTGTTTGGGACTGGATGTCAAAGCCCCAGTGAGGGAGAGCTGGGAGATCAGACTGGGACAGAAGAGCCTTGGGGATGAGAAAATGCCAGAGCTAAGTATGGATTTTTTTCTTTGTGTTATTGGAACAGACTTTTGTTTGGGACTCTCTGGGTTGTTCTAAACTAACTCTGGTACAAAGCTAGCCCCAGGTGGTGGTATTGTTAACTAGAGAAAACCTCTGAGTTCTTAAAAGTCCCCATAGAGAGGAAAACAGAGGTAGGGAACCTACAGAGACAACGCTGGTGAGGAGGGGGTACTCAGTAAGCAGCAGTCCTGTTACACTGATGCTAAACCAGACAAATTCAACTACCGTAAAAACCTGAAATAAGAGAAATTCTTTAGTGTTGACTTAAAACTAGAGTGCTAATCTGGCAGGTTAAGGAATGTCACCCTACAGGATTGTATGCAGTGTAGCTGTAGCGATGTTGGTCCCAGGATATTAGAGAGACAAGGTGGGTGAGGTAATGTCTTTTACTTGACCAACTTCTGTTGGTGAGAGAAGAAGCTTTCTGCTTTGTGTGGCTTGAAAGCTTGTCTCTCTGTGGTCCAATAAGAGATACTGCCTCACCCACCTTGTCACCCTACAGGATTGTTATCTGGGTGTTGATCAAAGAACCCAGTTAACTCAAGTATGCCAGACGAGGGAGCACAGCCCGCCAGTTAGGGCATTAACCTTGGACTTGGGAGACCTGGGTTCTCTGCTGCAAGCTTGCTCTGTGAGGTTGGGCAAGTCATTCAGCCTTTCTGTCCCTCAGGTCCCCAACCCCAAAATGGGGATAATAGCACTACCCTGCCTCACAGAGGGATTGCAAGGATAAATACATTAAAGACTGAGGTCCTCATATACTAATATAACATATGCTCTATAAGTATCATTGAGAAAATATATTGCACTCCATAAGCATGCAGCTTGATCTGAGTCTGTTCAGATTTCTACAGCCATCCAATTCCCATTGGGTTCCAATTGTTAACACATGCACAGCTACTCAACCAGCTTTATATCATCTCATTGGTATAGCTACCAGTAACTCAATATCTATCCATAAACATTTGACCCCTTATAGCAACAGGTGTCAACTATAGTATGGATTTAAATCAAAAGTCTAAGTTCAAGAGTGTTTGGCTTTTATACAAGAAATTCAAAGTTGTACCTTCCACAGCTACTGAACCTCAGGGCCCCTTGTGTGCACTCTGTGTAGTATTTTTGTACTGTACATGGAGTTAATTTTAGTGCTTTAATTTACAGTATATGTTCAATATACCTGGTTTTACAGTTGTTATGGGAACCATAACTCTGAATTGCCTGACTTTTGTTCAGTCAAAATCTCAGCATAGCACTAACATAGCTTTTTGCGTTTTCCATCTGGGAGGAAAGTTAGGCTGTGTGCTGGGATGTGGTTTGGGTGCTTGCCTCTCTTGGCTATCCCAGACTTTGATTTGTGGCAGTGGGTTGGCTGGTTGTTACTTGGGGAGTAGAGATCAGGTAAGTTTCAGACACTGACAGTGGGGTTAAACGCTGGTCACTCTGGGTGGCTTTCCAAAGCAGAGATTGCCTGTTTAAATGAATAACGCTGTTATCCTTTTTGACCCACGCAGTTTGCCAATTTGTGGGGTCTAGCAGCTTGCTTCTGTTAGGGGGAATAAGTTGATGATAAAGTCAGGTATTTCTTTGATGCAATCCTGTTTATTTACAAAGAAAGTACAAAATCCTGCTTCCCTCAACATAGTAGGAATCAACTAGCAAGAGACAGTTTCTTTGCTCACAGTTCCAAGCCCCTTTCCTGTCAGCACTTAGCCCAAAAGCTTAGCTTTTTCCTCAAGGTCACACTACCAGTGCTTCTGTGGCTCTTTTTGGTTTTTCTGCTATTTCTCTCTCGCACACAGCTCCACCAATCAATGTCCTGGCCTCTGTGTTTTCTATATCAGTTCTCAGGGAAACCCCTTGGGCAAGGGCGCTGGATCCCAAAAGTGGGGCACCAGGGGTCCCCAGTCTGCAGAGGCCACCCCCCTGGCCAAGCTGGAAGCCAGAGCCTGGCCATGATAAGAGCCACGTGGGCAGCTGTGGGGAGCCATGGCAGGCTCTCCACCTGCCCAAGGTGTGGGGGGCCCAAGCAGCCCCTGGCCCACCCTCCTGTCCCCTCGTCCCCCAGACCCTCACCCAGGGCAGGTGGATGGTCCGTGCCGCGGCTCCCCACAGCTGCCCATGCAGCTCTTACCATGGCCGGGCTGTGGCTCTGAGGGGCCCCCTCTCCAGCCAGAGCCGGGTAGGGGACAGCCATGTGGGGAGCTGGCACGGAGTCATGGACCCTCCTCCTGCCCTGAACTGGGGAGAAGCCTGGGGGCTGAAGACACAGGCTGGGGGCTGAGGACACAGACCAGGGGCTGCTCTCAACACCCCCGCACCCCAGGCAGATGGATGGTCCACCATGGCTCTCACAACTGCCCGGGCTCCCTGGCTGGGCTCCATGCTGGCCTGGTGGGGCCTTGCGGGGAAGAGGAGGGGAAGGGGGCGGGATCTGCCCTGGTTAAAAGTGGGAGGACCAGGCCCATCCACTTTCAAAAAGTGGGAGGCCCCCAGCCCCCCAAGTTCCTTCAATGGCCTGGGCCATGTGGTTCAGCTTCTACTCAAGCTGCCTGTTTCTTTGTCTTAGTGGGGAGGATTGCTCCTATTATTTTAGCTGTCTGGTTCTATAAAGGAGCTCAGCTCAATTGCTTTTAAACTTACCCTGACTGAAGAGCCACTGTTACAACCACCAGCTTCAAGGAAGTTTAACCCAACCCATAACAAAACTTTGAACTTCTAGAGTGCCTTCCCTCCATATAGTGATTAGTGCCACCATGTTAAATACATTCCTCTGTCTCCTGTGGTACACAGCAGGTCTTAGAGGGCTCATTCATTTTGTTTTCCTACTTCAGCAAATCTTTTTTCTCATAACTGTAACCAAAGATGGAGGCAGCATCACTGGGTGAACAATGCCTCAGGAGATACTTTGCTGGAAATATTTATACCCAGGTGGGTGCACAAATAACCATCCAAGGCACAGAACTCCTTCAGCCCTGGGACCATGGTGGTGGGGAGAGCAAGATCCTTCCGGCCCGAGGGCTCCAGGTAGGAGAGTGAGCTACTGCCGGAGTGGGGTACAACAGGGGGCAAAGTTAAATTTCTGCACACGCCTCTATTTATACCTTATTCTTAAAATCTACATGAATTATTGATAGTAGAACAGTGATTAGTATGTGTTATCTGAAGTGGGGAGAGGGAGTGAAAGCCTTGTAGGAAGATCCAGGGCTATCCTCAAGGGGCATTTTTGAAAATATCTGCTACTTGGTAGAATCTGGCTTATTTCAAAGGTAAAAGCTCATTCTTTAGAAGAAGTTTTATGAGCCCCAGTGTTAAGTCATCTCTAGCAGGGATGATTCAACAGTATCCAGACTCCAGAGACAAGGAAATCATCTGAACCTCCTCCCCCATGTAGTGGGAAAATTTGACACTGGTTAGTAGGCCTCTTCCAGCATATCTGCATCCACACATCTCTCAGTGCACTGGAAACATTCATTAGTATTGCCTTGTATTTCAGTAGTGCCAGGATCCCTCAGTGAGGATCAGGGTCCTACTTGGCAAGATGCAGCATGAACACTGAGGTATATCTACACAGTGCCTGCCCTATAAAGCTTACAGTTAAGTCAAGTCCTCTAACTTCTCCCACTTCACTGGGGTGTTAATTAAATTGCCTAAGGTCACACCGTGAGTCAGCTGAGACTAGAGCTCAGATCTCCTAATTCCTAGCCTAAACTTAATTCTCTAGACTACCGTCTAACCTCTAAAAGCATTTCTCTATACTTCCCAGTTTGACTATAACAAATAATTTGCACAACTTACTGCTGCCACTACAGATTAGTTGTTTAAACTGGGCAGAGTCCACTCTCCTAACTACCTCCCCGCCTCCCCTTTCCTTTAACTCTAAATTTAGTATCACTGTCCCCTGGAGGCCAGTCTTACCAGTAACTGGTGTTTCTGCAGCTGCTCATAGCTTAAGCAGTTATAAGCAAACCTTTTAATGTACTTATAAAAAGGTAAAACACATCTACATAACATTATGGGAGACAGAGAGACTAGATATCCACAGATACAAAATTTTGTGCCAGTTTCTACCCAAGCAATATCAAAGAAGAATTAAGGGCTAGTTCAGATAAACTTATTATAACCACATTCTTGGTGTGGTGCCCCTTTGCAGCCCTTCAGGACACAATTTACCCAGCTGCTGGTATATGTCTGTCTCTATGAAGTCCAGTGTAGTGATGCTTTGGCCCTCCAGCCAAACCTCCCTTCAGTCCTATCCCCTTCAGGGCATTAAGGTAAGTAATCCAGAACAAAATCAAACAACTCAAAACAGGGTCATCCTATGGACCTTCAGTAGTATTCCACCCTTCTAATGAGACCTGGTCTTCCAAAAAGTTTGTGCTTCCACCAGTTTTCAACCCACATATTAGGAGGGCTGATCCAGCTGGTTAGCAAGCTCTATCTTAAGGCTGCAGCTAAGCTTCTCTCCCATCACAAGAAACAGCATTCTATCCTCCTTCCTGATCACTCTCAACTGGGCTAGTTCTCCTTTTAGCTCTCTGCTCCCTGCCTCACAGTGACTCCAGGTGTAGTGGGGTGGCGCCACCTGGGTTCACATTATTTCCTTAATCTTCTAATTCCCAGGGTGGGGCGCCTCTGTCCCCCCAGTTTTACACTGAATAGTACTTTACTTTGGGAACAGTCCCATTGAAATCAACAGGATTGCTTCTGCATTAAGGTACTAGTCTATGAGTAAGGGTGTCAGAAGTGGACCCTAAATTGTCACAGAGTGACACTGGTCCTTTAAGAGGGAGCAGGGCCAGTACACCTGTGCCTTATCAGCACACGCCAATGTGGCCAATTAATTGGCCTTACAAGAGGGCCCCTAGGCCCCATGAGAAAAGGTACCTGAGGAGTTAGGGCTGCCTGAGGAGAGGAGAGCTAAACTGGCAGAGACTGTATGTGGTTTCTGGGTGAAGGCAAGAGAGCAGCAAG